ATATATATATATATATATATATATATATATGTAGAGAGAGAGAGAGGGAGCATATGCGGTTAATTTTATATGTTCTAATTTGTTGCCATATATATTTTTATAAATTTCATTAAATATCTACTTCCTTTAGAATTATTATAGTTTCTTTTAAGGTATTGAACAAATTTATCCTCAAACTGTCATGCATAACTCATATCCAAGGCCTTGAGCTTATTTGGTGCGATGACGTTTTGAAAACACAACAAATCCGTTTGAGTAAACTATGTTTTGGCAGCTTATGCGTTTTCAAAACGCTAAAAAAATATTTTCACACCGAACCTAACTAGGTGCGGAGACAGCTTTCTGGTTGCAGTCTAGCTTTTTCAAGAAAAAAAATTTGTAATAGCCACCGTACCTAGCTTATTAGCAGATCATTCAATAAACTGCAGCTGCCCCAAACAAACCCTAAGACTTGATAACAGGAGATCTAAGCTCCCAACTAATTATGAGTTAACCTGAAACATCATAATAGTAATTAAAAAAAAAACACTATGTTAAAATGAAAAAAAATATAAGACCTAGAGTATCCAAATTAATAAGGATAACTCAATGTTTAAATTTATTTCAGGATAAATAAAACATAAAAATAATTAGGTAACGCTTCTAATGTACTAATCTTAAAAGCAACTCTAATAACATATATAAATATCTTGAACAAAATTTGATTATATGGCATTTAAAATTATAAATCAAGCTAAATGATTTCTACCGAAATTTCTACCATTATTTTTGCCATATTTGACCCAATTCTTCTTTTGGCCTTGTATATTTTATACAAATATCTTATACTTCCACAACTTTATTTTCAAAACAATTAAAAAGAAAAATAAGGCTCATTTATCCACATGCCACTCCATTCTTATATATTTACACATTTAACAAATAAAACTTTACATTCTACTTCTATACCACTCAAACTTCTTATACTACATAAAATAATTTATTATTTAAATTTTTAAAAACTGAAAGACACATTTTTATGCATAGGTAAGGTACATATATACTAGTAGAAATATAAATACATAAAAACTAAATGATATGTTCCCAAATCTTTTAAAATTTAAACAATCTTATAATTTGGTTGAGTTTTAATTAATCACTCTTAAAGTTGTCTCTTTTAAGGGCAATATTAGATATGGAGACCTGACGTACTTATTCCAATTAAAATTCGACATTTCTCTTTATCTAAAAAATCTGAGAAGCCTAATGTCCATCCATGCGGAGGAGTACAAGATCATGATTGTACTGAAAATTTTTCTTGAGTACAATCATGTTGTATTATAAGGCTTTTCACATCAAAATATTTATTTGAATTTTTTTTTTAGTTAGTATAACATGATTCTGCCCATGAAAAATTTACAAGTAAAATTATGTTGTAGTCCATGTTGGGACACCCATCCAAATATTTTCCCCCCTTCTAGTGTCAATTCATCAGCTTACTTAGAGCAGTCGACGGACAAGCTGATAAGGCAGCCAATATCCACTCCGCACTTGCCGGGAATGGAAGCCAGAAGACTTTGATTCAGCTCGCCGACTTGCTGGGCGAGTAATTTAATACAGCTACAAACAGTTCTGCGGTCCTCTGCAGTAATCGCCTCCGCCTTCAGTTCCTTCGCGCCGCCGCTACAAGCCGCCGGCAACTGGCCACCGTGCTGCGCGTAACCGACACAGTTTATGAGCTTGGTCGCCACTTTGCTGCAAGGAATAGCTGACTCGACAGTACTGATTGCGATGAAGGTCATCGCCAGGAGAGCCAGGACTAAGCCTCGGGCTGTAGCGCTTGCCATTGATGGATTGAATGGTTGTGTGAGGTTCATGAATGGCCAGTGGAGGCTTTATATAGAAGACAAAAGAGTAACGTATGCATATCATTCCATTCTTATATATTCACATATCGAACTTTTAAATTAAGATTTTTACATACTTGTACAGGACAGTGAAAAAGTTATGTGGCTTCAATTTGATGGTAAATTAATTCTCTTTTTTTTCTTATACTCGATTCAAAGTGATAAAAAAAATCTCACTGATTAGTCCTATTGTACATGAAATATAAAAAGGCATTAGGTATTTTAACAGAAACATATGAGGTTGGGAAATATTAATAAAAAGAAGGATTGATATGCGTGCCCCGATCAAGTCCTATGAATTCAGATATCTAACACCAAAATTTGAGTTTTTACATACATACCACCATACCTATGGTTGAAAAGGTTTATTTCACCTTCTAATTGTAGAAATGGTAATATTTTTGATGTGATGAGAGATTAGAGTGGTTTAACTGTAAAGAGAAATTAAATTTTAGTTGTTAGGTACGTATAAGCAAATAAGGATTGAGCGGAATATGTAAACGCTACCTTACCCCCGGTCCCCAAATAAAAAAAATAGTTATATTAGTTGCTACTTTTGAGCTTGACGTGGAACTGATCCAATTTTTAGGAAGTGGATTCGCGAGCACTTAGGAGAAGGTAATTTCCCTGTGTTCGTTTGGTTCTGCTTCTGCAGCTGAACTAAACATAAGTTATTTATGTGACATTTTGGCAACAGTCACTGTTCATTTTAATGGCATGTACCTAATAAATTGGAAATTACATCAATTTATTTGGTTTATTTTTCAATGTACCATAAATCACGAGACTCGACCCAATTAAAATAATTTTACTCATATATATTCTAGACTTTGGTTGATGTTCTTAATTGTGATTGGACAAGAGGTTGACGAAATATAATAAATATATTGATGAATTCAAATTTGTCCTGTGAGTCATATTCAAGGATCGGAGCAATGGGACTAGAGAGGAGAGATTGAGAGATCACACCCAGGCTTGCCCCTCCGGGGTGAATCGGTGTATTTTAGGGCTATATGGCTCATATTATATACCATAAAAAGAGATTACAAAGATGGAAATGAGGGAGGATCTCCCTCTAAAGTTTGGGTCTATCTTCGAGAGCCAAAAAGCCCCCGTTACAATTGTTGGGCCCTCTATTTATAGAACATAGAGGGCCACAATGATAGACATTACATTTTGACCCTTGCTATAATGAGGGGGTTGCAAAATATTTTAGTTTTTTCATATTTAGTGACTACTTTTAGCATCCTTTGCAGATTTCTCCTTTGGTCGGTTGAGATGTCGTCGCTCAATTATTCTGTCAGGCGACCTGTGCTTTTGTTAGCGGTCTAAGTGTGGACTCTATTGGTGGTCTGATATGGATGGATTGTCGGTTAATTTTTGGCAGTAGGTATAAGATGAATGAACGATTACCTGAAAAAATAAGGAGCCATAGATGGCCAGCCGATCTTTCATTGACCGCTGGCCAGAGATGGCACACCGACTGGGGGGTAGGGCTCTAGCTAATTGGTTGAAGAATCACAAGCCTTCATATTATCCGTCATACATGCTCGTCCGCTATTAGTTGGCCAAGATATTCCTTTGTCAGTCGACCTTAGGCCACCCGCTCGCCCATGAGTATTCTAGCCAAACATGTACCATTTGATTGGCCCTTCAAGCTGCTTTGAGATCCATGCAGACCCCTTTAAGGTGTATATATTAAGTTCTCAAATTTTCTTGCTCCTTAATACTGACAACTACGACAAGGACAAGTAAATATTTTGGAAAATAAAACGATTCCTACAATAAATTTTTGTTTAGTACCATAAATAAACTTAATGGATTTCCATGCCCATGACCATTATATAGTGAGAACCAGAGGGGCAACTTCATCATCTCGAGTTTGTTCCTCTTTTGGGTCCTTTATTTACCGTTTGCAGTTTTGTTATGGCGAAAGGATCCAACTCCCCGCTAAAACCAATGATAAAGCTAGAATGCTACCAGCTTTCTGGTTCAGATTGCGTCAACTTAAAAGCAAGCCTTCGAGGAAGAGGTTGGCCAAGTGGCCAAAACCTATCGATGGAATCAAGGTGCAAAAGTTGTCTGATTAGATTCATGGTATTCTGGAGAAAACCTTACCCATGGCTGGCAGGGAGCAGGGTGCCTCAGCAACCAACCCACCAAATAAAACTTCCTTTGAGGCATCAACCCAATAGAATGTTCTAGTCGACGTAGATGACCCTTCTAGTTGTTACTCATCAAGTCGACAGAGATGACCCGTCATCGACAAAGAAGGAGTTAACATATGATTTTCCATCCGACGATGTTGGCAAGAAAAAATTGGTTTAAAGTGATGGGTCTTCGGGAGATTATGTGATGTGCGTTGTAAATATTTTTCAATATTACTATACACACACGACAACACTAATAGTAATATGTAATTCAATCCCAATAAAAATAAATTCAGTATAAATAATTTTCTCTTTTAAAATCTCTAAGCTGCCAAACCCCGAAATAATAACGCAAGTATACGTATCGCTTAAGTAATAAAAGGCTCTAATGGAGTCCTAAGTATCGATCCCACAGAGAATTGGAAATTTTTATGGTTATAATGTTAAACAAAATATTCAAACTATAAAATACATTATTCAAACTATAAAGCTTAAGAAAGCAAAAAAAATCTAAAGTAAATTTAATGTGCGCTAAAAGAAATGCAGTGAGAAAAATTAAGTTAACTAAACTAATTGTTAAACTTCAAAAGTAAACTTATAAAGACTAAATAAAGTTTTTAAACGAAGAGTTCAAATTTAAGAAAGCATTCTTCCCATTTACAATGAGTTTATGAAATGTGAAGAAATTAAAATCATTTAAAATACATATATAAAAATTATACTGTGTCAAATAGGAGCAATCGTATTCTTTACCCTCTGAGAGTGCATAAAGAACATTAATTAATCTAGAGTTTGGTCCCTAAATCCGTGGTTAGGTTGAGAAATTACTGGATGCCACTCCAGCACTCTCACTTCTCCCTCCCCCGAGGACAAATAATCTCGTTTTAGTTTCCAAGAAACTAGACCAAATTAGAGATTTTAATCTGTCCCCTTAAAATGTCCAATTTTGCGCCCATCAAAGTATATTTCCTTATTTATTTGTACATAACCCCATGTATTACATTTTCACCCATGAAATCGATTGTGACTCTTACCTTTGTGTAGAAAGCATAACCCTTTCAGATCGTATGTTTCTCAACAAATTTTAACTTTTTATTTGGTTAGAAGTAAAAGTAAATGAAGATTAGAGTTCAAATCATTACAATTTATTGACATTTAAAACCTTAAAAAACAAAGCTAATTCTTTGCAAAACCATATCTTATTGTAGGAAGAATGATAAAGAAGACTACTCCGAATTCATGATAAGGACACTACAAAACAAAGATTTCATACATAAAAATAACCTTATGAAATAAATAAAGAAAAAAACACAACTTATCTCACACTCCTTGCCAAGCAAATCCATAAAAGTTCCCTTCAAACATTTTCTCTTATTACAATAACACTCAATTCTCTCTTAGAAGTATAATGAAGAAGAAATCACTCACCTTCCCTCTCCTCTTACAACCTTAGAAGAAAATCCTTTCTTCCCCAAGACTTCTCTCTCACGTCAAAAATTCTCTCAATCTCATGTCAAAACTTCTCTCAAAAGGATTTCAAAATTCCCTAAAATTTTTCCCCCAAAAGTCTCATCTTTTAACACCACGAGACAAGCCCCTTCATCCAAGCGACAAATCTCTTCATTAGAGAGCATTTGCAAAGTGTTTAGATACATTCAACCACTCCATAAGCGTTTGAATTGTTTAGGACTTTAAAAATAGCTAAAAAATAGGCATGAACCGCCTTACTCCATCTTAATTCGTCTCTAGCGCTTTTGGCGCCAGTTCTGGCTCCAGTCTAATGAAGTCCGCACTGTTCTCTGGATTCTGGCACCTCTGGCACTAATTCTGGCTCTTCTAGTGTTGCTTCTTTGTAAAATGGTGCCTCTGACACTAGTTTCTGACACTTTGGGCGCCAGCTCTCCGGAAAATGACACATTTGACGCCAAGATCATGAAAATCTCAATTTTGGCTCCAAATTTCCTCCCTTTTGCTACTTTTTTACTCCAAATGCCTAAAATCGATATACCTGTAATAAAAATATGAAAATAACCTTTTTTAAAGTGCAAAATAACCTTTAAGTGCAATATCACCAAAATAAACATAAAATATATAAATAAAATAATACATCATTTTGGTGTATCACGAAACGAATTGGATCCTGGACACAATATTTTACTTTTTCATTTTTGAATAGGCTGATGCTAACTGACAACTTTTCTTTTCATAAATGAGGTGGTAACCCAATCCTGTATAAACTTTTTGCTCCTATAGTACTGACCGGTTATGAAGAGGATGTGGTCAATCACCCCTCTAAACTAGACGAGGTCCTAGGTAAAACCTTTAAGGTACGTTGGTCATCCCCCAAGACATTAACAAATCATCTGGAGTAACTAGAGGTAAAATACCATGTTCTAAAAAACTTATAACTCCTCTTACAGTAATAGATGGAGATAGTTTAGATAAAACTTGAATTTTTGCCAGATCTACTTCCATGTCATTTTCTGAAATTTTATGCCCATGCACAATTTCTCCTGCAACCATGAATTGACATTTTTCTCAGTTTAATACTAGATTCGTCTTTTCATATTGTTCTAGAACTTTCTCTAAATGATTTAAACATATTTCAAATGAAGTTCCAAACACAAAAAAATCATTCATAAAGACTTCTATCCCTTTTTCAATAATACCTTTAAAATATCACAGACGTGTTAAAACAATCAAAAGGCATTCGTTGAAAAGCAAACATACCATAAGGACTAGTAAAATGGTAATGATATATGATGATAGCCTGTATATCCATTTAAAAAGCAAAAAATATATGTGCCTAGCTAGCTTATCTAACTTCTAGTCAAAAAAATGGTAAAGGAAAAGTGATTTTTTCTGGTGGCCGAATTTAATTTTTGATGATCTATGCAGATTGACCATCGAATTGCTTGTTTTGTTGGTATTAATTCATTACTCTCATTTGTCACTATAGTTAAATCTCCTTTCTTTGGAACACAGTGAATTGGACTCACCCAAGCACTGTCTGAAATAGGATATATTATTCTCGCATCTAACCATTTTAAAATTCCTTTTTTTAACAACTTCTTTCATCATCAGATTTAATCTCCTTTGAGGATCAGCTTTTGGTTCATGACGTTCTTCTAATAAAATTCTGTGCATACAAATCGAAGGACTGATTCCTTTAATATCAGCTAATAGTCATCCAAATGCTTTCTTATGCCTTCTTAAAATTTCCAATAACTTTTATTCTTGTGCTTCAGTTAATTATGAGAATAAGATAACATGTAATGTGGATAAATCTCCTAAAAAGACACTCCTAAAAAGAAATCTCCTAAAAAGACATATTTTAAATTTGTAGGAAGTGTTTTCATTTCTAGTTCAGGAGGTTTCTCAATCGATGAAATCAAGTTTATATTATTATCTGTGGGATCTAATAGTTCAAATTGTTTGTGAACATAGTCCATTTCTTCATTACTCACTTCTATTAATTCATCTTGAATTATATTCTCATCCTCATACTCCAAATGTTCATCTTCAGTTTTCTTTTCAAATGTATTTGTGAAATATTCATAGCTTAAATAATCATTAATTTCCATTCTGAAGTATTCATCATCTCTTCCTATTGCTGGATATCTCATTGACTATGGAATAATAAAGGTGACCTCTTAATCGCTAACTCTCATCATCAATTGTCCATTCTGCACAACTATTAAAACTCTTACATTGGCAAGAAATGATCTTCTTAAAATGATTGAAATTTCTTGATCATTTTAAAGGAAACCAAGTACCTCACTTTTTTCAAATGTATGACTGTTGGGGTTTTTTGGATGATCTTTTAGGTGATATGCATATGTGACACATATGAGCTTAGAATTACGTTATTTAAAGACAACAGATAACCTTTTTTTTATAAAGTCTACTGTCTTCTTGTGATGACTGATTAGTTAGTTTATATTTTGTTCTCTAACACCTCACAGTTTTATAAAACTTGTATTAGTATTTGTACTATTCATTATCACGAAATGTTGCATCTAACTTTTTGTGCTTTGTTGGTTTAAACCTTAAAAAAATATTAGCTTGAAGACTTTTGATATCTCTAGAGCATTGTACTACTATTGTGGACTACAATATTCCTTGTTTACTTCGACATAGCCATATAGCTATGGGAGACAATTTTAAAGGTGTAGAAGAAGTAGAACAAAAAATAGTGACTTCTTAAGATGGGTGGATGGGTTCGAGGATTCCATCACCGATAGTGATCCCGCATGGAGAGTTTTTTTGGAGGGCGTTATCTCGTGATATTAACTAAGTGCATTTTAAAAAAAATATTATCATATTATTAATTGTTATTTTAATGGTCTTTTGTTTTATTTTGATTGTCGTGTTACTCGTTGTTTAGTGATATATATGTTTTTATTTTAAATAATTTAAACTTGATATTTGCTTTCAAATATGAAATATATTAGCAAGATTGGTTCTGTTATAAATAACACTATACTACATAGGCATAAAGGTCATTTTTTTTAAATGAGAACTGCAAAAAACAAACAGACAACCCAACTTCTCTGCAGCAGCAGCTAATACAACTCCCTTGCAACAACTTTTTAAAACAGACCATAAGTCTGCTAATCACAAATCGTTCAAGTTATTATTGGATTAACAAAGGATTTATTCGTTTAAGAACGCAGTACAGAGATCGATCAACTCCAAAGTGATACAATAAACTAACGGAAAGTCATAGTCAAGTTGGAAATAAACCAACTCTTACATTACACTTACAATTTAATATTTTTTTAGGGCAGTTTTGCCAAGCAGCTTATTATTAACTATAGTCAACAACTTGAAAGCTGAAATGCATTATTATTTCAGTACTTAATAGATCACGTCCCACCTCGGCATCTCACTTTACTCTGTGACAAGAAAGCCATCGGATTAACAAAGCTGTAATCAATAACCGTCGAAATTAATTGACATAAAAACAAATATGAGCTCCATGTTTTTTGAAATTTTTAGATTTGCATATGATGAATATATATAAATAATCAATCAATATTTATTATAAGGAATTGTATAAATTTCCCAATTTGTAATACTCATTTATGATCGAAGTTTAATTTGATAACTGTAAGTTACAATTAAACAAAGCGGCATTTATATAAATACCATTCAATTCGTATTTATTTACATGTCTAACAACACGATTTTATTTTTGTTTACATTTATACGAACCAAAACATTCATATAACATAAAAACTATCACTATTTAAGCTATATATATATCTATATATATATATAGGGCATATGCCGTTAATTTTATATGTTCTAATGTGTTGCCTTATATAGTTTTATAAATTTCATTAAATATCTACTTTTTTTATAATTATTATAGTTTCTTTTCAGGTATTGAACAAATTTATCCTCAAACTCACATGCATAACTCATATCCAAGGCGTTAAGCTTAAAGGCCCGTTTGGGGTAACTTATTTGGTTTGATGGCGTTTTGAAAACGCACCAGACCCGTTTGGGTAAACTGCGTTTTGGCAGCTTATGCGTTTTCACACCGAACCTATCTAGGTGCGGTGTCAGCTTTCTGGCTGCGATTTGACTTTTCCAAAAAAATAAAAATTTGTAATAGCCACTGTAGCTAACTTATCAGCAGATTATTCAATAAACTGTAGCTTCACCAAACAGACCCTAAGACTTGTTAACAAGAGAGCTAAGCTCCCAACTAATTATAAGTTAACCTGAAACATCAAAATAATAATTAAAAAAATATATATGTTAAAACGAAAAAAGTATAAGACCAAGAGTATCCTAATTAACATTTAATAAGGATAACTCAATCATTAAATTTATTTTAAGATAAATAAAACATAAAAATAATTAGATAACGCTTTTAATGTACTAATCTTAAAAGCAACTCTAATAACATATATACATATCTTGAACAAAATTTGATTATATAGCATTTAAAATTATGCATCAAGCTAAATGATTTCTACCGAAATTTCTACCATTATTTTAGCCATATTTGACCCCAATTCTTCTATTGGCCGTGTATATTTTATACAAATATCTTATACTTCCACAATTTTATTTTCAAAACACTTAAAAAGAAAATGAAGGCCCGTTTACCTACATGCCACTCCATTCTTATATATTTACACATTAAACATATAAGACTTTACCTTCTACTTCTATACAAGTCAAATTTTTTATATCACATAAAAAAAAATTTTACTTAAATTTTTAAAAACTGAAAGACACATTTTCATGCATCGATATGATACATATGTACTGGTAGAAATATAAATACATAAAAATTAAGTGATATGTTCCCAAATCTTTCAAAATTTAAACAATGTTATAATTTAGTTGAGTTTTAATAAATCACTTTTAACCATGTCTCTTTTAGGGGGGAAAATTAGATCCGGTGTCCTGTCGTGCTTATTTCAATTAATATTTGACATTTCTCTTTATCTAAAAAATGGAGAAGCCTAAAGCCTATCATGATTGTACTGAATTTTTTTTTTAGTAGAACCATATAGTATACTAAGGCTTTCACATCAAAATTTTTATTTGAATATTTCTTTACTTAATATTTTCTCCCTTCTAATGTCAATTCATCCGCTTACTTAGAGCAGTCGACGGACAAGCTGATAGGGTAGCCAATATTCACTCCGCACTTGCCGGGAATGGAAGCCAGAAAGTTTTGATTCAGCCCGCCGATATTCTGGGCGAGTAATTTAATACAGCTACAAACAGTTCTACGGTCGTCTACAGTAATCGCCTCCGCCTTCAGTTGCTTCACGCCGCCGCAACACGCTGCCGGCAACGGGCCACCGTGCTGCGCGTAACCGACGCAGTTTATGAGCTTGCTCGCCACTTCGTTGCAAGGAATAGCTGACTCGACAGTACCGATTGCGATGAAGGTCATGGCCAGGAGAGCCATGACTAAGCCTCGGACTATAGCGCTTGCCATTGATGGATTGAATGGTTGTGTGAGGTTCATGAATGGCCAGTGGAGGCTTTATATAGAAGACGAAAGAGTAATAATGTATAAATTATTACTTTTTCTTATACTGGATTCAAAGTTATAAGAAAAATCTCACTGATTAGTCCTGTGGTACATGAAATATAAAAAGGCATTAGGTATTTCAACAGAAACATATGAGGTTGGGAAAAAGGACTGATATGCGTACCGATCAAGTCCTATGTATTCAGATATCTAACACCAAAAGTTAAATTTTTACATACATATCACCATACCTATGCTTGAAAAGGTATATTTCACCTTCTAATAATTAAAATGGTGACATTTTTGATGTGATATAAGAGATGAAAGTGGTTTAAATGTAAAACTAAATTAAATTTTAGGTTTTAGGTATGTAAAAGGAAATAAGAATTGAGCGGAATATGTAAATGCTGCCTCCCCGCCGGTCCCCTCCCCCCCAAAAAAATGAAGGTATAATTAGTTGCTACTTTTGAACTTGACGTGGAACTGATCCAATTTTTAGTAAGGGGACTTGCAAGCAAATTGGAGAAGGAAATTTTTACATGTTCGTTTGGTTCTGTTTCTGCAGCTGAACTATGAATAGTTTATTAGTGTGACAGTTTGGTAGAAGTCACTATTCATTTTAATGGCATGTACCTAATAAATTGGAAATTACATCAATTTATTTGGTTTATTTTTCAATGTGCCATAAATAACGAGACTCGACCCAATTAAAGTAATTTCACTCATATAGATTATAGACTTTCGTTGATGTTCTTACTTGTGATTGGAGAAGAGGTTGACACCATATAATAAACATATTGTTGAATCCAACTCTGTCCTGTGAGTCATATCCAATGATCAGAGCAATGAGACTAGAGAGGAGAGATAGAGAGATCACACATAGGCATGCCCCACCGGGGTGAATCGGTGTATTCTACGGCTCTATGGCTCATTTTATATACCATAAAAAGAGATTACAAAGCTGGAAAGGAGGGAGGAGCTCCCTCTAAAGTATGGGTCTCCCGTTACAATTGGTGGACCATCTATTTATTGAAGATAGAGGGCCACTATGATATAAATTACATTTTGACTCTTGCTTTAATGAGGGGGTTGCATGTTGTTTTAGTGTTTTCATATTTAGTAACTACTTTTAGCATATTTTGCAGATGTCTCCTTTGGTCGCCTGAGATGTCATCGGTCAATCGTTCTGTCATGCGACCTACGCTTTTGGTAGCGGTCTGGCTGTGGACTTTGTAGGTGGTCTGATATGGATGGACTACCGGTTAATTCTTGGCAGTAGGTATAAGATGAACGACCAATTACTTGAGAAGACGGGAAGCCATAGATGGTTCGTTGGTCTTTCGCTGACGGTTGGCTAGGAATGGCGGACCGATTTGGAGGTCAAGCTCCAGCTAATTGGCTGAAGAATCTTAGGCCTTCATTTTATTTGTCATACATGTTTCTCCGCTATTGGTTGGCCAAGATAGTCCTTGGTCGGTCGACCTTGGGCCACCCGGTCGGCCATGAATTAAATGATTCGAGATCCATGCAGATCACTTTTGGGTGTATATATTAATTTCCTTAATTTTCTTGCTCCTTGACAGTGACAACTGCGACAAGGACAAGAAATTTTTGAAAAATAAAATGATTCTTATATTAAATTTTGTTTAACTCCATAAATAAACTTCATGAATTTCCATGCCCATGACCATATATATAGAGCGCCAGAAGGGCAACTTCATCATCTCGATTTTGCTCCTCTTTTGGGGCTTTTATTTACCATTTGTAGCTTCTTTATGATGAAAGGATCCGACTCCAGGCTAAAACCCGATGATAAGCTAGAATGCTAGCTGCTCTCGGGATCAGATTGCATCAACTTAAAAGCAAGCCATCGAGGAAGAAGTTAGATAATATGCCAAGACTCATTAATGGAATCAAGGTGGAAGAGTTGTCCGATTCGATTCAAGGTATTATGGAGAAAACTTTACCCAAGGCTGGCGGGGAAAAGTGTACCTTAGCGACCGACCCACCGACTAAAACTTCCTTTGAGGCGCCAACCCAACAGAATATTGCAAATTTATCCCTTCTAGTTGATACTCATTGCGTCGATAGAGATGGCCCTTTGTTGGCAAGAAGGAGTCGACAGATGATATTCCATCTTGTGATGTGGGCAAGAAAAACTGGTCCGAAGTGAATTGGATCCTGGATAAAATATTCTCCATTTTCCTCTTTGAATAACCTGATGTTTACTGAAAACTTTTCTTTTCATAAATGAGGATCCTCGTGTTAGACAATTGTCGTCCGACATTGGTGGTGGTTACCCGGTCTTGTAGAAATTTTGAATCCTAAGGTACTGACCTGTAGTGAAAAGGATGTGGTCAATCACCCATCCAAACTAGACGAGGTCTAGGGTGAAAATTTTAAGGTATGTTGGCCATTCCCAGTGATTTTAGCAAGCCAGAGGAGAAGCACAGGAAAACAGTCGATTTATACCAACCGATTGTTGAACTCTCGGAGGACGCATTCCTTTGTAGGCCAATTTTGAGGCCTACGGAGTTAATCCATTTAAGCTCTGCGGTCAAGCGTTTTTCATGAGATTAGTTAAGAGGGGTTTAGTCCTAGCTGAGGGGATCGAGGATGAACTTGTGAAATATCTCCAGTTGGACTAAATCCATATGTAGTTATAATTTTTTTTTATAAATAAAACATTTTTATTTTTGAAAATCTTGATTTTTGTGTTTGAAAAGAAAATTTTCTCAAGTCCGTATGAGGTGTTGTCTCGCAGCTTCTAGGTGGCTGATTTAGGGAAGATTTTCTGAGCACTTGGAAAATTGGCATTGGACATGGAGTGTTAGGATGTTAGAAGAGCCGTGCTTACGCACCGCGACACTAGGACATATGTGATGTAGAAGGAGCAAAAATAACGCCCTGCTGCCACATATGGGCTCCCCGACGCCACAAATGGGCACCCTAATGCCAGAATAAAATTTTCATAGTTTGAGTAGTTTAAACTTTTTGTTCGCTTGATAAAGATAAAAATTAGACTAATAAAAAAGTGGGAGAGCTTTTCCTTTTTTTTCTGCCAAGATTTTTAAGGAGAGGAACTTGAAGGAGAAAACAAGAGAAGTTCAATCAAGTAGAGAAAGTGAGCATTAAGGGACTTTGTGTGCTTGTGTCTTCAACCTTTTCAGGAGTGAAGAAAGGGAGAGAAGTTCTAGAATTCTTATTTTGTGATTTTGGGGTTATATTTTTAAGACTTCTATACTTTAATTTTTCTTTCAATTAAATGATTTGGCTTGTGTGTTCAAGCATGCTTTTTGATTAATTTCTCTTTCTTCTTTGGGATGGAAATATAGGTAGATGTATGTGAGAGTTTTTATATGTGATTCTTGTGGATGGTGATTAAATTTTTGTGCTTCATATACATTTCACTTTGGCAGTGTGGTTTGATAAAATCTTCTATGAATTATGAGTCTCAGAGAAGATCGTAATATAATCAACTAAGTTAATCACATTAGCATTAAGAAATCGGGATATATCCTTTGGGATAATGTAAACTTTAAAAAAGAATGTCATGCTTGGGTTAAATATTAGAATTATAGAACTAATCTACATCTTAACCAAACCTTCTTATTTCACCCGAAGTGGTTAAGGGGGAGATTTGCTCTTGTATATCATTTGTTTATTTTGTGAAGTTTTCACATACACTTTCTTATTAAAAATTTCCAAGGGAGAATCTTCTTTAATAATTGAGTAACTTTTCATTTTCATTGTTGATAACTTAGGGTTATTGTGTATGACTTTAATTAAACCAAAATTCAAGCTTTGGCTTAAAATAATAGGCTAGAACTTTTCCTTCATTGAGTTTTCCTTATTTCATTTGGATTGACAACCAGACTCAAACCCGGTACTATTGATACACTACGTATTCTTGTGTGAGCAGCCTTTTCTTTATAAAATTTGGTGTATGTCAAATTATTGGCACCGTTGCTGGGGAACGAAGAGAAAAAATTTAATTAAACTTGTAGGCCTTTGACTTGAATATTGTATTGTTTCTTCCTCCATGTATTTATATTGTTTTGCTTTTGTTTGCAAAAATTCAAAAACACCTTGCTTACTATTTGTATAATTGTGCACTTGCTTCTTCTCTTTCTATTGCATAATATCTATTTTGTATTTTTATCTTGTATGATGTTCTCTTTAGCTTAGAGTTTCTATGCTAAGGAACCTAGTAGGTGTATGTGTAGTGCAGGATCTTTAGACCTTGAACCCCACAACTCTGAGCTTGAGAGAACCATTAAAAAAATCAGAAAACAAATGAGAATTCAACAATTTTTAAGAGAAATAGTGTATGTTTCTAAGAATAAGCTAGATGCCAAATATCATCTTGACATGCCTAGGCCTTTAAGAGACTTTCCTAATCCTACGATAGATGAAGTCCATCTAAGTATTAATACCCCTATCGTAGAAGTCAATTCTTGTGAACTAAAGCTCGCTATAATTTCAATAGTGCAGAATAATTAGTTTTGGGAGGATAATTTTTGAAGATCCAAACCTTCATTTACTGAGCTTCTTAGTATTGTGCTCTACATTTCTATACAATGGCGTCTTCAACAACACTGTGAGGCTATGGATTTTCCCTTTGTCATTGCGACAAAAAAGCTAAAATGTGGCTAAAATACTTAGCTCCTAGATTAATTAGGACTTAGAATGAGCTTGCTCAGAAATTCTTAGCAAAATATTTCCCACCTTAAAAAACAGCGAAACTTAGAAGTTATAGTACTTCCTTTAGCCAATATGATCTTGAGACAATCAATGAAGCCTGGGAAAGGTTTAAGGAACTCCTTATAATGTGCCCCCACCATGATTTACCTAATTGGTTGATTAGTTAGATTTTTTATAATGAGTTCGTAGGATCTCTTAGGTATATTATTGATGCACCACAAGTGGATCCCTTATGTTGAAACCTTTTAATGAGGCATATTACTTAATATAAGTGATGAAAACAAATAACTTCCAATGGCCTCGTGATAGAGTGATAGGAAGGTAGCCAGTGTACATGATGCTGGCGTTCTTTCAATTTTGACCACCCAAATGGCTGCTATCTCTAGAAAGTTTTACCAACAATGGTTAAATCAACCACAAGGATCACCAATCA